TCGTCCTCCGACTTCACGTCCTCGCGCTTCTCCTTGCACTCGTACAGCCCTGCGGGGCGCGGGCACGGTGAGGCCGGAGGGGTCCCCCGCCCCAGCCCCGCCCGGCCCCCCGCCGCCCGCGTGAGCCGTCGCACACTCGCACACGCACGCTTGCACACTCGCACACGCACACTTGCACACCCGCTCCGGGACCGGCCGCCACCAGCCCGCGGTCCTGGCCGAGATCGGCGCGGCGGGACTCCCCGGCCTGGCCTCTGCAGCGTTTCTCCAATTATCCACTTTGCCTCTGTTGACACAGCGTGGCCTTGTTTTTGCAAGGCAAGCGGCGCTCAATATTATGTTTGAGGCAGAGGAAGCTAGGCAGACCCGCCGGGCTGTGTGGGCCCGGGCACACGGCCGGCCCCGGGCCGCCTGAGCGGCTCTCCAAGTCTACTAGTCTCCGGGTTTTCTTACGAAATCCGGCAGCTGCCCCGCGCAGGCCAGCGGGAACCTCAGCCCAGCGCCCTCCGAGCGCCCAAATTCAGGGCGCTTCACGTTTGCTGAGGAGGAGAAGGAGGCTCAAGCTCAGAGCAGAAGAGAGGGGCCGGCACCGAAACGGCTCCGCGGGGAGGTCTCCGCGGCCTGCCCGACCCACAGGCCTGCCGGGCCCAGCTGGAGGCTGCTCCGGGCGCTCCGGGCGCCCCGGGCTAGGTCAGCCTCGGCCTGCGAGAGTGTGCCCTGCCCTAACTAGGGCTCCGGGCCTCGGACAGGAGGCTGCTCAGGGGCCAGGCCCTCGCCGTCCCTTCCAGCTTGGCCCGCAGGGAGCCCACCGTGCAGGAAAGCCTGGGTCTTGGGCCCCAGCCCGAGCCGGGCCGGCCTTGGCCCCCCACCCCTGTCTTCCCAGACTTCCCTGACATCCCCACCAAGTGGCAGTTTAAATCTGTCCTTCCACCGGCTAAAGGGAAGCAGCCCACCCCCGTGTTCTGCCACAGTCCTCGCTGAGGCCGCCCTGGCTCTGCCTCCCTTCTCCACTCCACGTCAGACTGAGGTCGCTGGCCCGACCCGAGCTGGGCCTGCCCTGCGGTCTTTGGAAGGAATCAGTCCCGGCGGGTCTGGGGAGGTCACGGCTGAGCCCTGGAAGCACGGGCCTGCTCGCCAGCACCCAGGGAATGTGCCTTGGGGGGCAGAGCCCCTCTACCCTCACTCCGGCTCCCGCTGGCCTTTCAGGGCAGCCCACCAGGTGGTCCCTGCTGCGAGAAGCCGGCAGGAGAAGCTCAGGCCTCGGACGGGCCTGGAAGCACAGCACACAGATGAGGCGCGGAGAGGAACCCCAGGCCCCGGCGCCGCAGCCTCCTGCTCTGTTCACTCGGGCCCACAACTCCCCGGCGTGTGTCGCAGGACCAGCTGCGTGGCGCCTCTTAGAGAGGACCCCGAGGCCTCGAAGCACCCAGGGTCTCTGCTACAGCAAGGTCAAAGCCGCAGGAAGCCCCAGAGCTTTGGCCAGTACACCCAGCTGCAGGCCAGAGAGGACGCCCCACCCTGGGGTTCTGGGTTACTGGAACGACACCCTAGTCTGAGCGGGGTCCCAGACTTTCTTTTCTTTGCCATAACAGTCCTACCCGTGAGTGTCCTCCTCGGCGGTGACCCTGGATGTCCAACCAGCTGGTGCCTGTGACTCCTTGCCCCAGAGAGCCCGGCCTGCGGCCCCCTCAGCCCTCACGCGCCTGCCCCAGCCCGGCTCCAACATCAGGCGAGGTGTG